AGACATGGTCTCTGCCAAAGAATTAGAAAAGTGAAGGCAATCTCTGGGCATAAGTTTTGGGGTTGGGAATTTAATTTTTCAGCCCTGGGAAGATAGGTTCCCCCTGGCTTTCCTCCAAAGCTGAATTTCATCATTGATATAGGTGCAAAAATTCAAATTTCCATCAAGATTGCAGGAAAATGGAATGTCTTTAGCCAAGGTGAACAGTTTCAAAGGATCATGGATTTTTATTTTTACTTAAAAATATTTTTCTTGGATTGCATTTTAAATAGGATTAAACTGTTTGACCAGTAAATGTGGTCAGCTCTCAGAGAAAAAGGAGGCTGAATTAATCATTTGTTAGAGTGCCAAGCCCAAAATGAGAATTCCAGTCTTGTAAAATGAAAGGCATCTCATATTTAAAAAGAAATACATAGTGCTAGAAGGGAATTTTTAAGGCCCTCATCTGTTTTTTAGCTTTCTAAGTTTAATTTCACATTTATAGAGAAAAAAAAAATACATACAGCACACTCCTTCCAAATGGGGCCCTTTCCAGTAAAGAAAGTGCTTTTGAAACCTCGCTATTAAGGTATCATACCTAGATGGATCTTCTTTTAAGCTTTAAGGTATGTTGTGGATTTGATTTTTTTTTAACCCAAACCCCCCTCGTGTAAAACAACTGTTCATAACTGGGATTAATGGTTTGCAATTTTCAGTTACTTAGACATGGGGTCTCCAGGAGATGGCTTTTTGCAGAGTACAATATGGCTCTCTGTGGGATTACAGAAGTTTTCTTCTCTTCCTACTTCCTTTTCTGTCTTCACCCCCCACCTCCACCGATGCACCGATGTTGCACTGATGTTCTTCTCGATTATGTAAAACACTTTCCCTTCATTGGAACAGATAGTTTTTCTCATAACCCGTCATTGCATTAAAGTACTTTAGGGACTGTGAATTGCTGTGTAAAATTGGTGAGATTACCCACTGCTTTGTTCTAGTGTAGTGGTTTCCTCTGGACCTAAAGAGCTGAAAACTCTTGCACAGAGAGAAGGCTGCTTGTGGATGGCCTGGCAGCACTTTTCTGCTTTCTGCTCATATGCATTTGTGTCCTTGCTGTCTCAGGACTGGTTCTGTGGTGTGGCAAGTAGCCAGGGGGAGAGCAAAGTGGGCCTCAGAGCGTACCCTCTCTTTGCTTGGCGCTTCTGCTGTCTACTTTTTAATCCTTCCCTCTTGCCTCTTGTCTCCCTTTCTGAAGAAATAATGTCTATGAGCGTCAGAAAACACAAAAAACACTGAGTGCTCCCATGAAACAACTTCTTGTTTTTCTAGTCAGAGAATCTTTAGTCAAGTCCAGAGACTAGGACTTCGCATCTGTTCTCCTCAACGCCTAAAAGCCAGTCGAATAAACCATGGCTCAGATATTCCATTCCTTCCCCCAGAAGATGAAATGAGGCCATTTGTATTTCCAGTGGACTTGAAATACTGCGTGGGGGAGGAGAACAGACACGTCCCCTAGATCCTCAAAGGTGGCAAAGGCAAGCCCTTGAGGATGGAGCAGAATCCCATGGCGGGGTTGTTTCCGATACAAATATATCCATTGCCCAAGAACCTCTAGGAACATGCTGCCTTCGGCCATGAGAGCCACTGCCAGTGGTGGACAGCCAGGCCTGGGGAGACCCTGCCATAGCTCTCTGTTGGGCTGGAGCGAAAAAGGGGAAACCAAAGAAAATGAGAATAAGAGACCTCCGTGGTCTGCAGGCATCTCCAAACCAAGAGGACTTCCTGCCTTTACATTTCTCACGCCAGATTTCTTATGTTGATATTACTTACATTGGGTTGCTTTATTTTTGAATTTCACAAGCCATACCCTTATCCTTCTCACAAAGGATTTGTATTCCTCTCTCTTATATACGAAACATAACTCCTTTATGAAACAACTTCAGTCGGTTGCAGTAAGTGATGCATGTGTATTTGTTCATGTTCCTTGCACCTCTGAAGAGACCTGTATGGCTTTGGTTGAGGATGAAAGCATACAACACGCAACCACTGCCAACTGTTACGGGCCGTTTGTTTTGGGTTCTCGTTTTGTAGCATCTTGATATGAGCACATATAAAACCACCAGGAAAATTGCACTGTGTACTCTTTCACTAACCCCTAGAATCCAATCACGTGTGGATCGTCCATCATAAGCACTTAAACATTTGAAAATAATGTTATTAAACTGATTTTTTTTTACTTTGATTTTGGTAAGAAGAGAAAAACACCCATCTTTCTGTCAGAGTCCTTTCATTTAGGCAAATACAGGTTGAGATTCCTTTTTTAAAATGCTTGGGACCAGAAGTGTTTTCGATTTCAGATTTTGACATATTTGCATATATATAATGAGATGTCTTGGGGATGCAACCCAAGTCTAAACACAAAATTCATTTATATTTCTCATATACCTTATACACATAGCCCAAAGGTCATTTTACACAGTATTTTCAATAATTTTGTGCATGAAACAAAGTTTGAGTACACTGAACTGTCAGAAAGCAAAGGTGTCACTAGCTTAGTCACCTATATGTCATATGTCGGTGCTCAAAAGTTTCAGATTTTGGAGTATTTGGATTTTGGATATTCCCACTTGGAGATGCTCAATCTGTATTATATCTTCTTGTACTTGTTTGGTCATTGTTTTTGGACTTTTTAAAAATAAAAAACCTTTCTATAAACTTGACTCTGAGATAGCAAAAGATATAAGAAGGCTTAGACGTGGTGTATTTTGAGTAATCAAACTTTTATTGTTTATAACCTTTCTGAACAGAATCATGTTGATTTTTAAGAAAATCGCAAAGTTTTTTGGTCTCATGAGTACTTTTATTACCCTTTCTCTCTACATCTTGGTGACAAGTACTTTGCAGAAGTATTAAAAATCAATATACCAATAAAAGAGCTGGCATAAAAACAATTTGCTACTTCCTGTATTCACTTTGAGGCCAAGACTATTAAGATATGGATTAAATAAGGGAGAATGAAGTACTGTTCTCCGTCATGATTTGTCATCCATCTTTTTCAAAAATGAGCTAAATGTAAAATGGAACAAGGAAGACCTAAGTCCTCTTCACAAGGCTCCTAGCTCCCCCACTTCTGCACCTAGCCCCAATTGGTTCTCACTGAACCTCTGGTCATTCAGCCTGTATTCAGGGAGCAGGCAGTTTGCTAGTTGCTGTAAAGGATGAAGAGATAACAAACATCTCTAAGATGAATCCCTCTGCTTAAAATACTCCAGTGGCTCCCTTCACCTACAAGACAGTCTGAGCTCTTTAGCAAGGTAGAAAAGGACTGCTCATATTCTTGCCCCAAACCAGCTCCATCTTCACGTCTCACGAGTATTGTTGATTCAGAACATTCTCCAGAAGAATTCAACCAATCTAAACAAGTTGCAGGTCTGCAAACGTACCTTGCATATTCCTGTTTCATTGCCCTGACCCATGTGGGTCCCTTGGCCTAGCGTGCCCTCCCTGTACTCTCTGCTGATGTTTCCAGCTGTCAGCGTGCTGGATCCACTGTGAACCCTTCCCCAAGGGCTAGGCAGGTTTAGGTGTGGCCGTGACATTTCTGTGTTCTTTTCTAATAGACTGCTTGCCATCTTGCTTTATGGTTATGTGCCCACATGACCTTCTTTAGACGTGAGCACTTTGAAGGCATGAAGGCAAGGACCATGCCCTTCCTCTCCAGCAGCCCTTGCCTTGCCAGCCAGTCACTGAGATAGCCAATCCCTCTTTCCTGAGCACTGCAGCGCTATGGCATGTGCCAGGTGCTGATGTATGTTTCCAATAGATGCCTGTAGAGGAATGAATAAATGAATGAACATGAGAATTACCAGCGTGGGTGAGAGCCAGGCCTACAAATAATCATGAGACAAGACCTAGGATGCATCCTATATAAGCAGTATAAAGTGCAGCAGGAAATCAGAGAAGGGAGAGATCAGTGTTAGATGGGGTGAGGATGAAAGTGGTGATATTTTGAGCTAGGCCCCAAGGTTGTAATAAGAAGGGATTAGGGTCGGGGGATACAGGTGAGTAGTGAGAGAATATGGCTCCAGGAAAGCACAGAGGAGGAGAGTGGAGATCAGGCCATCTCCAGACTTATGCTCCAAGCAAATATCCCGCAGATCTGTGACTATCCTCCAGGCCTGGTTCTGGAGCCTTCCCACCTGCCATCCACCCTCAGAGCATGGCTGGTGGTCCTGAGTTGCCCGGCAATCCCAGTTACCCTCTCACAATTTGGAAAGAGGGTGTTCACTCAGAAAGGGGACATGCTAGCATAGACAAGCGGAGACCACCAATATACAGTGCAGGCTGGTTAGCTGAGAAAGAGCATCCGGGGACTGGGGAGACATGGCAGGCTACTATAATCTGCTCCTGAGACACTCTATGACCACAGCCCGAAGCCCACCCTTGGCAGGGGCGCTGCTGCCACTGTCCATCATCTGCCAGGTAACTCTGGCATTTCATACCCATATTCAGGGGCAGATAGAGCCCCTGTTGTCAAGATGTCACAGTCTCAGAGGGATTGGAACAGAGGCATGTGTAACCAATCGAAGTCATGCACAGATACATAAAACTGTTAAAACAGTGCTACCTGCTTCTTGAACACTGGGTCCTATCTTAATAAGAAGAGATGATGGATGGTGAGAGGGTATTATAGAAAGACATGGCAGAGGTGGAGAAAAGGCAAGGTGCCAGCCAGCCATCTCACAGTAAGGAGGCTCCTGCCCTGGCCTCTCCTTCCAGGCCCTCACGGGTGGCAGCAGGTTCAGAAGATCTCTGGGTCTGTTCCTCCCTGGGAAAGGAGCATTCTATTTTTTTTTTAGCATTAGAGGGCACGCATGAGCACTATTCATCAGAGGGCAGAAGCTCATTGTTCAAGTCATTATGAATTAATTACATGTATATATGCTTGGTCTGATGAAAATGAAATCACTGAAGTTTGTTTTCCCTCTCTCCCTTTTTTTTTTTTTTTTTGTTATTTACAGAATCATACAATGACCCAACACAGCAGTTAGTGCAAGTACAGTCTCTCAAGGAGAATTGCTTTTGTGGCACAAAAAGGGAACATGTTTTACTCTTTGCACGAAACTTTCATTGTTAATGTATATTATTCAGAAACATTGTATTGTACCATAAAACTTGTATTATCAAAACTGTTGGATGTTCATGTGTTTGAACTTTTGCGCACCGGATAGACCCCTTGTATATAAAGTGTTGCACATGTATTATGTCGTCTGATACTAAAATGGTCTTATAAAGACAAGTGGACTTGGGCCCTATTCAGGCAAGATTAAAAAAAAAAAAAAAAAAAAAAAGACATATGACCAAAATGGCTTAAGATAAAGTATTTTTAAGGAAGAAAGATTAAAAACAACTGTTATACATGAGACTATGGTTGGACTTCCTTTTCTTTACACTTAAGCCTAGAATTTCTCTTTTGGTATATCAGCGCTTAAATCTAAGACTATTTTTTATTGCTGAAGATTCTTGCAAACCATGAAGAGATGTTCTCACAGAACAGAACCCCACAGCTGGATAAGGCCCGTATATATATATTTGTAAGCCTTGCAATGTGACAGGTAGCATCACTATATATGCAATAGTTGTTATGTAGACTGTCAAAGAATTTTTTTTCCCTGGATACATTTGAAGCTTTGAGTGTTCAAGGTTTTCCTTAATGATTTCACGCAGCCAAATTCTTGAATCAGTTGAACTAACCTGTATGTTACTGTTATTAATGTTTACTCTGCAGTCTGAACCTGGAGATTACTGGAATTGTTTTCCAAGAGGAAATAAATTCAGTTTACCATTAGGTATGAGTGTATTTGTGTGTTTTCTTTCTCTAGTTACTACATCATTAAAAAAAAAATCTAATTGCCTGCACCCTTGGATGTGAAATCTGCTCTTGAGCGTATCACAGGCATTACCTCAATCATATTTAACCTTTCACACTGGGCCAAATGCATCTGGAAGGATATTCATCACTCTTCATAGGGAAGGAAGCAGACACAGTATCCTTCTACTCTGTCACATACTAACAGGTCACACTGTACTTGAGGATTCTGACATCACAGATGGATGTGATGGCTGTTTTCTGCATAATTTGCAGCCCAATTCATGTCATGCTGTGCAAATCTGAACTCAAAGTAGATGGCTGCAATTTGAGAGGCAGTTTGGCTTATGTGTACTTAAGAAGCAGCATTGTTCATTCAGAAGACAAAGCACAGAGCGAGGAGTCAGATGGTTGTTTGTTGTAGTTCTGGCACTGTCTCCCGATGGGCGTTCCTTCACCTCCTGGCCTTGGTTCCTCCAGCCCGGGGAAGGTAACAGAACCTGGTCGTCAGCCTTCACCCAGGCGTGGGGCATCTCTGGAAGGTTGCCTCCGCTACAGCCTGCCATCCAATGGTGAATAAGTAGGAGGTCTAATTTCAGAGCTTCTTTTTGTTTTTTGAAAGAAGAGAATTGCTATGTGTAACGTGAACCCTGATATACATGTTTAGTCAAAATTGGTAAGTAAAGACCTGGTAATCATGGGCAACCTTCATGCAAACTATGCTGAAAATATTTAAGCCACTGTGACTTTTTTGACCTCTTCTAAGCTCTGAGATCTTTGAACCTTAAACAAACAAGAATCATCACAGCACTTTTTTGGTGGGGAGCTAAAAGCAGGGAACAGTTGACTTTGTTGTGACCACGTGTCACCAGGAGAACCACTGATGAAACTGAGATTACCATCGCCACAGTGCATAACCCCCATCCCGTGGCTCTCGAGCGTTAACCTGTTCCAGGATCACCTAGAGAGCTTGGTACATCCTGGGGTGCTGGGCCCAACTCCCAGAGCTGCTGATTCAGTCGGCCTGGGGTGGGCCTCAAAACTGTGCCCAAGAAGTTCCCAGATGATGCTGATATTGCTGGTGTGGGGGCCACACGTTGAGAACCACTACCCTACCCTATTTCCAAGGTAGTCGAATACATTAAACGTAAGTAATCAAGTGGAGTGGTGGCAAATTACACTATTACGTTAGCAATATAAGAAAAGTTTGGTCGAATTTTAAGATCATTCAGGAACAAGTATTTTATAGTGATTAAAGTATGTGTGCTGGCCACAATGTTGTGTGTGTGTGTGTGCTGATGGTTCCCAACTTTTAATGGTTCAGCTTACAATTTTGTGTTTATTGTTTTTTTGTTTTGTTTTGTTTTTTGAGATGACATCTCGCACTGTCACCCAGGCTGGAGTGCAGTGGCGCAATTTCGGCTTACTGCAACCTCCATGTCCCGACTTCAAGCAATTCTCCTGCCTCAGCCTCCCAAGTAGCTGGGATTACAGGTACCCACCACCATGCCCAGCTAAATTTTTGTATTTTTAGTAGAGACAGGGTTTCACTGTGTTGGCCAAGCTGGTCTCAAACTCCTGACCACGTGATCCACCTGCTTCAGCCTCCCAAAGTGCTGGGATTACAGGCGTGAGCCACCGCACCTGACCCAGCTTATAGTATCTTTATCATGGTGCAAAAGTAATACACATTCAGTAGCTCCTCAAGTTACAATGGGGTTCCATCCGGCTAAATCCACCATAAGTTAGCGAACATCTGTATTCAGCTTCATAATGCTAGGAAAACCTGCATCTATACATTTCACAATGGATTGCCAGCATGCTATTTAATTAAAAAGCTTTTTCACCAGCTACATAAATAATGAAGTACACTGAGAATATGCAAGTACATCTATAATTAAAATACTCAGCTATATTTTTTAAAAATTAAGATCTCTGGTCCATTCAGGATTTTGCATTTAGAATGAAATAGTCATGCTTAATAATGATTTTTTTAAAAGCTTTAAAATGTCTGCTTATTAATGAGTGAGTTATATTTTACTAAAGGTAAGCTGCTCTGTATTTACAGAAAGCAGGTTATGTGTCAACCCAGGGATATATCCCAAGTTGCCTTTAACAACATTGCCTCTCAGAGACTTCTCAGACTGTAGTATGAAAACCAGGAGTTGGAATTCTTAGGACGCATCAGCGGCTGTGTTTGCCATTCTCCCTAGAAGCCTCCACACGACTGGGCATCAGGCTCCTTCAGCACAGACGCAGTTCAGCCTCTTTCCAGACAAAGCCGGGAGGCTGGAGGAGTTGACCATTATTTGCTCCATAAAACTGGTTGATCCTCCAGTAATTAGGAGGTAGTTCCTACTTAGCAGGTCCTTCCGCCTTAGAACCAGCCGTTCTTTGGGTCATAAATACTGAACGGTGCTTGGAGCAGTCATTCCCCTCATTGGCTTGTTACCTTGTTTATATTTACATCCTATCTCCTTCCCTGAGGATATAAAAAAGCAACTTAAAGATGAGCAAAACATTAATAGGAAAATCAGCATCTTGTGAAGTCAGAGGGGAGAAAAAACACTACAGTAGTTGCCTTGTTTTATGCTTCAGTTTTGATTTTGAGTGCATTTTAGCATTAACTTGGAGCTTCCTGGTAGTAAAGCGGGGAAAACATCCAGAAAGGAAGGAATATATCAGTTCCTCAAGAGAGAAAATGCTTCCCTAGCACTTAATTCCAAAAGAAATTTCTCCAAGGCCTTATAGAAGGGTAGGTGACCAATATAATAGCCACTATTCCTGACCATAATTTTATGACTTAATACAGTGTTTACTTATCTGGAGAAATGCTATTGCATCTATGGTTAGAGCTTAAGATGCTGCTAAACTCATAATATGCAGGACAGGTCCGCACAACAACGAATTATCTGGCCCAAAATGTCAATAGTACAGAGGTTGAGAAATTGCTCTAATGTAAAGTTGTATGTGATTTGCAATGGCCCAAACTTCTTTACATTGGAAGGACCTGGGGAACTTTAAAAACATCCATTGCCTGAGTCCCACCCCAGAGATCCTGACTTAATTGGTCTCCAGCAGGGTCCGCCAATCCCAGGGCCACAGACCATTATGGGTCTGTGTAGCCTGTAAGGAACCGGGCTGCACAGTAGGAAGTGAGTGGCAGGCAAGGGAGCAGAGCCAAGCTTCATCTGTATTTACAGCCACACCCCATCCCACTCACATGACTTCCTGAGCTCCGCCTCCTGTCAGATCAGCGGCAGCCTTAGATTCTCATAGGAGCGCAAACCCTATACTGTATGCAAGCGATCTAGGTTGAGAACTCCTTATAAGAATCGAATGCCTGATGATTTGCCATTGTTTCCCATCACCCCCAGATGGGACCATCTAGAAGCTTCAGGAAAACAAGCTCAGGCCTCCCAGTGATTTTTTATTATGGTGAGTTGTATAATTATTTCGTTATATACTACAATGTAATAATAATAAAGTACACAATAAATGTAATGCACTTGAATCATCCTGAAACCATCCACCTGTGACCCTGGTCCATGGAAAAATTGTCTTCCACAAAACCAGTTCCTGGTGCCAAAAAGGTTGAAGACCACTGGTCTAGAGCACAACTTGGACATCAGAAACTCCTCAGCTCATTCTAAGGGGGTCAAGTTTGAGAACCACTGGGTTCTGTAGCTGACATTCTCAGGTGAGTGTACCTGACTCAAGACTAGAAATTAGACAAGAACGTTAGAGAAGTGGTGTGGGCCTTAGACTCTCTTTCCTCAACACTGATTTTTACAATGGGGCATTTCATGATTATTTTAACCCTGAAGTAACACAATAACCAATAGCAAATCTGTGAAGAGGGAGAAAGGAAGAAATAACCCAGAATCTCATCACCCTTACACCTGATCCAGGGATTATAGACTCAGCAAGTGAGAAACCTGGCGCGGGGGCCTCTAGCAACCTGGAGAGCAAATGTCCCCTCCCCTGCCCCACTGTTGCCTGCAGGGAAACAGGCTCCTGGTGCCAGATTGCCTCGTGCCTTCCGAGGAGCCAGCAATCCGGGTGGCTACATGCTATGTTCCAATTTCCAAATGTTGGCAACCTATTCCATTTTTTTTTTTTTTTATTCAAACTCTGCTGGCCCCCACTGTGTGGGCCATATGAGACACACTTTCAGGCCAGGCTTGAATCTTGGATTGCCAGTTTTGACCTCTGGCATCAACTGTTGTTTTTTTTTCTTTTTCTTTTTTTTTTTTTTCCTAATTATTCTCATTCCAGCCCATTTTAAATGTTTGCTTTAAAAGAACGATATGACTTTTGTATATAAAAGTTCAAATCGTGCTTTGTTTTCAATTAGCATTATATGCAGTTTTGAAGCTGCTCTGTGACCTTCACATTGCTTAATGCTGAACTGAGTAATCCAGCGAATGGATGTGTTCTATATGAGGCTGCCCTTATTTCTGGATATTTAGATTTCAGACAGATTTTTGGGGATGATAAAGGATAACAAATGATAGAAAGTTAATATTCTCTGATGCAAGTCAGATAATGCTAAATTCTGTGTTGTGAATGGGGGCCAGATTAATATGCTTTAGAAATCATGTAAATGGGTGACAAGATTGACATTCTACTTTGAAAACTGACAAGCATAACCAGTGTTCCAGCCCCAATGGAAGGTCACAGCGCCAGAGACCCTCTAGGGACCCCCACAGGCTGGGCTAGGCTTCCCAGAGCAGCTCTGGGTCAGTTTCAGAACATGGACAAGGACTCCAGTGAACCCTCAAGTTCTGCTCTGTAGAGCATGGCAGCCTGACTTTGTGTCTGTTTGTGCCTGTTGGGGTGCAACATTGCAGAACTCTTGAGAAAGGAAGCTTGGAAATCCAGATCCCATTATAGAACACCTGCAAATGCTTCTCCATTTAACTTCAGCAGGCCAGAGACACTTACCACCTCCCTTGTGTGGAGGAAGCGCCTACCAAAG